TGGAGAAGAAGTGATAAGGCTGATTCCATTCCTGAACTTGGTTCTCTGGTGTCYCTCCAGCATCTTTCAGCCTAGAGTATATTTTTTCCCAGTTTGTTATCCTGTGCACAGTACCCACCTGCCTCCCTCTGTCCTGTCCCAAGGAAGGGGCTGYCCARCTGGAGTAACAGTGGAGCTGCTTGSCAGTATTAGACAWTGATTRGAATTTTATTTTTAAACTTTTAAGTTTTGAACTGCAAATCCTGTAAATTAAAGAAATTACAGCCTCCAAAGCCATATCAGGTATTACAGAGAAGGAGGGCAGAGAGAAAGTTGTCTGTAGAAAGCTTTGGTTGCATTTACTGCCATGACAATGTCTAGCACAGTCATCTTACTTTTATTCCTGAAAGCAGAAAAGAGTGAGGAAATTTTAAAGTAGCCTAGCAAAAAACTTAGAGTAGTTTCACACCATTAAATCTGTGCTTTATTTTTCCTTCTCAATAGTTCAGTCTGCAGCCAAGAAAACGCACCAGCCAGTTGAAAATCAGCATTTCAGAGCATGCTGTGTGTGTGAGGCCACTCTTAAGGTGTAAAGGACAAAGCTGTGACATTGTGAGAATCCCTCAGCCCATGCTGCAATGGGCACAGCCTGTTCTCAATGCTGTGCCAAAGAGCCCAGAGGTTGTGGAGCTACAAATTATAGAAATTCTATATCCTGGCATAAAGCTTGAAGTTACACATTCTACAGCTTGGGTAGAGTTGACTGAGCGTAGCTTCAGGTTTGTTTGTGGAGGTATCCATGCAAATGGCAAAATGACAAAAATTCACCTTTAAAAGAGCAGTAGTCCCCATCCTCTTCTTTAAACTTAGAGGAAGCTGGCTTTTTATGGCAGTTTAGAGTAGAACTGAACTCAGAATATTTTGCTGTGACTCCGCCTTGCAGCATTCACATAGCGAGGTGTTTCCCAGAAGCTTTTCTGACTTCCAATAAAAAGCCAAGGTACTTCCTGGCTTGCAGCAGATACATGGAGTCTTGCCAGCAAGAATCTGCAGCTAAAAATCCCTTAGCTTGAGTCTTTGATTTCCTTGCAGTTCTATGTTCAGGGAGAAAATCATCAGTAAAGAAGGCTGCAGTATTTATTTCCATTGTTTTCTTTATTTCTTTATTCARCTGCATACTCTTCAGGTAGTTCCTGTAATTTCCATTTCAGAAAGGTTTATTACGTATACTGAGGTCTTTTTTTCTAGCTGATGCAACAAAATGTAATTGTTTTTAAACCCTCATACAATGATCTGTTCTACTTAAAACGCCCTGACAGAACAGTTTTCAGCTTTGCACAGCRAATTAAGTCTTTAATTTTGCTAAGAAAATGCCTTTGGCTTCTCATATGAACATTGGTTGTGGTCTTTTCTGTCTCCTTATTTCTTTGCAGATCTGGGGTTATTTTGAGATGTTTAGATAAAATGCAGCAACAAGTACTTTCAAGCTGTTAAAGTTGTTTGGAATTTAAATCAATATAGCATAGTTGCAAAACATAAGGAAATCAACATTGCATGATTCACAAGGAAACAGAAGGAATGACAAAAATCATGGTGATATATCTGCAGAGTGATGTTAGCACAAAGCAACRCTCCGGTGACAAAGACTGTTTTCCTCACACATTAAAGTGCTATTGATTTTTTTTTTTCTATTCCTTTTATTTCCCTCTGACTTAAATTATGTAATCCAGACTTCCCAGTTGTCCCAGTCAGTGTGTGTGTTAGTTTGGGTAAATTGGCTGTTTAATGGGACATTGATTTGTCTTACTTGAAACCGAAACGAGTTTAAGAAAGCGTTAATTATTCATTGATTATTCATTTAAACTAGTCTTGAAAGCAGGGGTGAAAATCTCAACCTAGTTGGTCTTGAAAATTCTTCTTTGTATATCTCTGACCAGAGATTTGGTTCATTAATTAAAAAAAAAAATGTCTTTAGGCAGTGCTGTGCCACCTGGTTTACAGTCASAGACACTGCAGAAACAAGAGAAATTAAAACATCCAGAGGACTTAACTTTAAGCTGGTAGGGCCCAGGCTCAGTGATTTAGCTGAACTTACTGCGTGGCTTTATTCCTTTAGGGTTAGGGGATGTCATCCAAGAGCCCAGATATCTCTTGTGGAGCAGGGGTTGGAATCTGGGTTATCCAGATCCCATGTTAATGTCTTGTAACTATTTATACTGTCTGGAGTCTGTTGTAATTAYCTTAGCTGTGATCTAGAGTTGTTTTATTGCATCATGTGCAGGCCATGATGTCTGAGAAGATATCCTGGAGTTGATGTGGGGAGGGTTGGTGCAGGCAGAGCCTGAAATGTGTACTCTAAAGGTGTGAAATCCTTGCAAGGAGGTGAACCCAGTTCCTGGCTCACCTTTTCACACCCAGAGCAGCTTACAATTGACATGTCCAGGGAGCTGGCTGGACTTCAGTCAGAAACGTTTCAATAAGCTGCTTGTCAAGGTATTTCTCTTTCTTTAACTCCCTATTCTGTCCTTACTGGTAACTATAAAACGTCACCTCTGCCACTGAAAAGCCCTGTGTGTACTGCACATAYCCAAAGGAAAAAGGAATTGCAAGCAATTCCTCACAGAAGGGCGAAAGTCAATTACTCAATTTTGACCTACAGTGCCAAATTGAGGCCAGTAAGACAAACACCATAATTAGCTTCACTTAAGAGATCAGGCTGGAAATAGCAACTCACAGTATTTGTATTCATTTAAATGGCTTTAAAGGCAGAACYGGAAAGAAGCTGCATCACTGGACCAGTCTTGAAAACAGTTTTTTATTCTCCTATAAAGAGCAAAGGCTTGTGTTTCAGATCAATACCAGGAGATCTGGAGCCTGGTATGCAAAATGTCAGGGTGTCCTGCACATGTGAGGTGGAGAGAGCAGAATGTTGCAGATACAGATTTCACATTGCACCATATAAATCCTAAGGATCATTTTCCCAAATCCTTGATCCAGTTCCTCTTGTGAGCATCTTTTAAAGTCCATGCTGTTAACTTTTCTTCAGCTGGTCTAAGGCCCATCTCAGGCTGTGTGGATATGAGAGGGAATTTTCCTCATAATAATTTAATTTCTTAGCACTTGTCTCTCTATCCCTCCCTCCCTCCTTCCTTCCTTCCCTCCCTCCTTCTCTCTCTTTCCTTGGTTACCAGATAATAGTTTTATTTGTAAGAATAATAACCCCCACTCCACAAATGGAATTGCATTGCAGACTGTTAGATAAGGTTCACTCAAGGTAAGGCATTCAATGAGCTTTTACTTCACTGGAGCTGCTAATTGAAATAGTGGTTGGTATTATCAGCTGAATTCTGTTCACCAAGATGGTCTGAATAACTGCTCAGGGGAAATAGTTTAAGTGAGGCTACCAGACAAGGAGGTTTTAAAAACTTCAAGCTTGAGTAGAAGAATTCAGCCATTTTCTTTGAAGTTTGGGGTGGGAGATGTGAGTGATGATAGAAGAACAAAATAGCAGTTACCATATTAGTTTGGTTGGACTTATAACAGAAATTGCTTAGAATTATTCTCTATTCTTGATGCTGTTACTCCCCTAATCATATATACAGCATTATAATTATTATTCTTGTATTTATGTAATGCAAAATGATGGCAGCATTTCTTCAGAAGGCATTTGTAAAGGAGAGTAATATAAAAGAACTTCATGAAGCAATGRGGTTTTTCCCCCTAGAAATTCATTGAAGAAGAGGAGGAATCTGGTGCAGGAAATATGAGCAARGTGTCTGTTATATCACTGCATAAGCAATAACCTGAAAAACAGCGTAGTCCATGCTGGGGCGATGCCAGGAACTGATCAGGAAAGGAAAAGATCTCAAAAAATCTCCAAGATAAAGCAATGAAGATGTTTCCCAGTGGCAGTGAGAGTGATGTACCAGCACTCAGTCCTTTGCAGGCCAGGAAAAGTAGGACAGGAATGGTATAAAGACAGAGGYGTGGGTAGAGGAATGTTTTCTCTGAAATGTTCTGATGAGCACCGCTAGTTTGAGAACAATATTACAAGGAGGGAAACTTTCTGCTRCTAGAATGGGATGTGGGAGGGAGAATTGAAGGAACATAGGTTTGTTTGGGAACATTCTGGGTAATACTTTCCACTTCAAACAGCACAGTTGAGATTAAATCTTGCTCCAGCTTACACCCATGCACTTCTATYAGGGCCCCAAGCTGCCACATCTGAAGAGAAATTGAAACATGTTTTAAAGAAGCCAAATGTGGAGCAATTAAACTTTTATTACAACAATGAAAGCCACAAACTTCTGTTCCTATCCAAGCTCTGCTAAGGGTGGTTGGATAGCTGATTACCACTGATTACCTGAAATTGTGTCTCCCTGACAATATTGCAGATACTTGSGTAGTTTCTGCCTACTCATAGTATCTCTAATTTGCATGCAGAGAGTAGTTTCTGATAGACTTGATGGGAGTAGAGACAAATAATACTGGTTTCTTTTCTCTTCRGGAGTGCTTTCCCTCCATTAGGTGTCTGCTGTAACAAAAAGGTGTTTGTAGTTTATTTTTAGTGTACTGATTTGCATACTACACTGGTTCATCTGGTTTCCCAGAATCTGATTTGGAGTGCTTTTCTTCAGTCCTTTTTGCTTGGATTGTATTCTTTCTGGGATTAAATTAGCTCAGTTTTTGTTTCCTTGTGTGCTCACCCAATGGTTTGCACACAGTCAGGTTCTTGGACAGAAAATTCTGAAACACTGTGGCACTGAAACTGTGGAGGGAGTTTTTCCTTATCGTTCTGTAGCAGCCTWAGTGGAAAGTAGTAGTTGATGTGARTGGYTTAAACTGTTGGTGTATGAAAAKACTATATTTAAATAAAAAGATGAAGACTTCTTAGATTAGCRTAAAATGTGACCAGATACATTTGTATCATGATGAAAAGTGTCTGAGAACACAGAGTTTTGTATGGGAGGATATATTATTTTTGTTTGGGTTGAAATATTTGTTGTTTGTTTCTTTTACAGTGGCCCATCCTCAGGAGCCCCACCACCCCTCGGAAAAGCCGGTCATCCACTGCCATAAATGCGGGGAGCCTTGTAAAGGTGAAGTGCTCCGTGTTCAAGCCAGACACTTCCACATCAAATGCTTCACCTGCAAAGGTAAAACCTTGATATTCATCAGTTAAAAATGAGCCCATTTGTGCAAATGTGCCTTGAACCAGGGAGAGGAGGTTGTGATGGTTCCAGCCAATTGCAAGCACTCTCTTTGCTCAGTTACCTGAAGGGTATAGTAGGGTGGTGATACTTGCAAAAATTCCATGGTTTTTTAGTTTTTATTTTAAGTGCTTTTTTAAGGATCTGGATATTTAAGGATCTGTTTTTTTGTTGTGTTTAATTTTTGTAACTATCCCTAATGAAAGTCTTGTTGCTATCAAGACTTAAAAAAAAAAAGTCCTTTGTACTCAATTGACTTCTGAAAGTACCTGCTTTCTAAAACCCCCCCAAAAAAGTTCTGCAGAGGTGTTCTAAGGCTTTGTGCCATGGAGCTGCCTTGGGAATGGGGATGGTGCTGCCCATTCCACAGGGAGACGACCTGAGGGGCTCTCGACAGCTCCAGCTCATGCCAATGAGCCCTGTGTAACCACAACAAAAACTCACTGTGTTTTTCTACAAAAGAGAGGTTTAATGAAGCRTTAAATAATTGTAAAACTATGCTTTGTGAATTCATGGCCTTTGAAGATGGGTGTTGTAAAGCAGGAGGCAACCCTGACTCCTTCATAGAGTTTCTGTTTAATGAACAACAAYGCAGAGTTGGCTGAATTGAGTAACCACAGAATGTAGGATGAAAGGTGAGAATAAGGAGAAATACACAGGTCTGTGTGCACCCACTGTCTGCCACAGTCAGTCCCAGCTTAGCGCAGGATAGATATAGGACAGAAAGAGCTTCAGGCTCCAGGTGAATGTGGCAGAGCTGGTGGGAAACATRGAGAAAGGTGCTGGAATAAATCAGAGTAACTGGACAACTAAACAGAGTAGTAGCATCAATGCCACCTAGCTTTTCATTTCTGTTAAACCTAAATTATCTTTTCTGAAAGTCCATATCTAGCATGTGTACTGCAGAACCAGACTTTGAAGTGTCTTCAGCCCAGTTGCTGATTTTCAGTTGTATTTTTCATCTTCCAAATGTGGGTAGGATAGTATATTACTGTGATTACTTTGTTGTTTGACTTCCTGAATATATGGAATATAGCAGAAAATAGAAAGAGTTGTTTTCCTGTGTTACTAAAGGGGTTTTTTTTTAAAGGTCACTTGCATTATTTCCATGCTGAAAAATGAATGGCTAGAATCTCAGAAATTCTGTTTGTCACTCGTGGTTTTTAGTTAAATACAGATAAATAACTCAAAGCCTTTCTCCTGGATATTAACATCTTCCATCTGTGCCAAACTGRAGTGGCACCAGCCCATCCTGGAGGGCAGCAAGGAGCACTCTCTGCACTATTTCTGGAATGCTTGGGGAAATGGATATCTCTTTCTCTATTACCGTTGCTGTATTTCAAGCAGTACTTGATGCTATATAATCYCTGAGCAGTTCAAAAACAGCAGCTATTTGTTTATTTTCTTATTTCTGCCCATAATGAGTAGAGGTCTCAATTTGCAGAAGACACTGGATCAGGATATTTTCAGGATCTGAGTCATGAAGGAGAGTGGTAATTGAGGCCAGGCAGCAAACAGTGTCCTTAGGACCCCCTGAAAGAGAAGGGGGCAGATGGAGMAGGGCTTTGGAATTGTTGTCCTGATGAATACACCACATTAATCTTGCTTTTTTTGGAGGGGGTGAGGTCTAGTTTCTTTTTTCACTTGTGTTTTTAGTTACTTGCTCATAAGCTGCTTTTGTGCTCTGACTATTCTGTTGCAAGACTGGATTTACTAGTATCTTTTTTTTTTTGTTGTTTTTGTTCTTTCCTTCTCTAGAGGAATGTATAAGCTTATAGTGGCTTCTGTTTATGAAGGTRTTTTGCAACCAGTTTTAATATTCTATAATATTATTGACCTCATGACTGCTTGCATGAAGATCACTAGAGAAAGGAGAGCTATAGAAATAACTCTTGCTGAGGGAAATAAAACTGCTTTATACCATTAGCTTGTTAAGGAAACTGAGCAAAATAAATGCAGTKTGAGCCAAGAGGGCCAGTGCTGACCAGACTTTTCTCATGCTATTTATTCAGTCTGTGCCTTACCAGTTGGGGTTGCCAACAAGTGAGTGTTATCTTTTCAACGTTGATTTGTCTTTCACAGACAGAAAGGAAAGGGGTGTGTGTATGRGAGATTGCTCCAAGTGTGTTTTGAATCTTTTACCTGAGCTGCAGATCTTGTTTGCTGTTAGCCCCCTTTGTTTAAGCGAATGCAGTATTTGTTGAAGCCATACAGTTATTTACTCACATTGCATGTTGTCTGACCGTATGGTTTGTACAAGTGGGACACAGCTGTTCGAATAAGTGGGGCTTTTTTTCTCTTAGTCTGATGGGTTTTTAATTTGACATGACTGCAGCTCTACAGGAGGTGGAGTTAGACCCTCATCAGTTTATAAAGTATGTTGTTAGGCCGCAAAATTAACAGATCCTGGGACCAGGACGTATCAACTGCATCTGCAGGTGGCTTGGTTGTCTCTATTGTATACTAAACTTTGCTCTTGAGACTTCATATATGTAYAGAGGGAAAGACCTGGACAAGATCACACTTGTCTGTTTTTGTACCTGCTGAAAGTATTTAAAGTTTTACCCAGAGAAGATGTGGAAATAATCCATTTCCTCATAAGGCTGTCACACGAGTTCTGTAGTCGCAGAGTTTCACTGTGTGATCCTGTTCTTTAGTCTGTATGAGATTCCCTTTTTTTTTTTATTGCCATCCATGCTCTCAACTTTGTGTTTACATCGTGTGTTTGACATGCTTGTAGGTCCAGCTTCCCTAGGTTGTCACTTAGGCACTCCATGACTGCTTGGCATGTGTCAGTGGTGGCTGTGGCACTGCAGGAACACRGTGACTGAGGTCTCCATGCTGCATCAGCCAGCTCAGACCATGCTCATGCATCATGTAATGTGATCAGACAATCATCTTCCCAGGAGTTCAGTGCTCTGTCCATCTCAGGAATCTTTCTAAGAACAGAGGAACGGCTTCCTGCCAAAGATGACAAGTAAAACCTCCAGTGACTGACGTGTTCCCATGCCCCCACGATAAGATGCAGCTAGCTGGGACTCTGCCTGTGCAGAGCCATGTGTCTCCAGCTGGTGTGTCCTATCTGCCAGGCAGGGCTGCCCAGTTCTATTTGTGGCTCCCGATAAGAGCTGATAGGAAAACAAAAAGCTGAAAATGGTGTGGCTGTCCCCAGGAAGGTGAGCTCTGCCTGCCTTCCAAYAGGCAAAGAATTTCAGGCAGGCAGCAGCTGACTCTGAGCTGGAGTTAACAGGGGAGTGATGGACAGGGGAGGGATGAGAGACATTTAGGAGAGCAGCTCCAGGAAGTCTATTCAGAGCAGTTGGTTTGGCTCTTTTATAACAAAGTCACTTACCTTGCAAGGGAATTGTACTGGTGTGTGTTAATAATGCAAATTTAATAGGATTCTGCATTACCTCCAGGTGTAATAAATAAGCCTTGAATTCTGTTTTTAGTAGGAGTACGCTACTCTTACCATACCAAATTGTTAATCTTTACCAGGCAATGGAAGCAGCAGGCTGAGGAGGGAAGGTTAGATGAGTAGGTTGAGCTGGAGACATCATCATTTGRTTTGTCTTTAATTAACATTAACAGGAATGGAGTAGAGGCTTATGAAGAAATAAAAGTTTTTGTTGTAAGCATCTATGTACGTGAATAACTTTTCTGGAAAAACTAAGACTACTCAYTGCAGTGCTGTTCCATTTGTAAATGTGTGTGGGATCAGGCCCTACAGTACAATGTGCATGAGCAGAGAGTTTAATATCTCAATTTAAATTGTGATCTGATACAAATGATAATTTTCTACCATTGTCAGTTGATTGCAGTTCATTTTACCCTGTTGCATGTACTAGCAGAGGAAATATAGAGGCTAGCAAAATTGCTATAATAAGGCTTCATTATTAAGCCTGTGATTCATCTTTTGGGTTAGAGGGAAAAGCTGATTTCAATGCACTGTATTGCTTAACAGAAAAAGCTTTAAGCTTTCATAGTAACAATGTAAAAGTTTACATAGCTTGATTTTGGTGCATGTAGAGWTTGGTTGAATTATCTCAGCAAGAGAGGGTAGCATTTGTAGTAGAAGTATTTAAAATAGTAGAGAGTGTCCCTGTTTTTAATGTCAAATGTGAATTGGAAAACTTAGGTTTCTTATAGTAGTGTAGACTAAACAAAAATTTAATCTCATAAATAAACAGTTCTGGCCTAAGAATATAGATGGTGTCCTTAAATTTTTTAGACTTTACTGTCACAGAATCATGGAACAGTTTGGGGTGGAAGGAACCTTAAAATCACATAGTTCCAGCCCCTCTGCCACAGGCCAGGTTGCTGAATCACTAGACCAGGTTGCTCAAAGCCCTGTCCAGAAATGAGGAATCCACAGGAATGAGCACTTTCAGGAATGGGGAATCCACAGTTGTGGCATAAAGGGCAGGTGAAAATGTTTTGYTGTGTATCAATGTTTCACATGCTATAGTGATATCCAATATCAAAAGACAATTACCTGCTAATAATCTTGCTAGTTATAAGGCAAAGCCAAATCCTGGCATCCAGAAAGCATTCCACAAACCTATAGTATTCAACAGGAAAAAAAGAAAAAAACATTTCAGCTTCTATTAAAACGTTGTTGTAAATTGGCAGAAAGCAGTTTTTTAATTATGGAATAAATGGAGTAATTTTCCTCTCTTCAATTAGATGTCTGTCGAGCTTAACTTGCAGAATCCTCTGGGGTATGTTTAGGTTCCAGGCACAGGTCTGGATTTTTATGTGATGCMTTTTCAAGGCTACATCATCTGGCAGGGAAGGGGGAGGCTTCCTAAGTTTAGATTTTGGGATGCTCTGTTATCCTTTGACTTTGAACTGGATTTTCCTCCCTTGAAGAACTGGGAAGAAGTCAGGGTCATGTAAGCAGACACTATATCAACAGGTTGGAATGTGCTTTAAATCATTAGTTC